CACACACACACACACACACACACACACACACACACACACACACAAATCCTTCCGTTGGGTTTTTATAAAGTGAAACTGCAATAATTTGGTCTGAATTCCTCTTTATTGTAACTTTACCAGCTCCTCTTTCACCTTTTTTGCTGTCCATCTCAAAGCAGCTGCTCCTTTAAGGCGCATCAAGCTCCGCCCCCCTCCTGCTTCCAGACCGGTCCACTCCAGTTTGAGAGAGGGGGTTACGTTTTCTAGCAATGCAGAAATGTTTTTTTTTTACAAATTAATTAAAAGATGTGAACAAGGGAAGACTTGTCCATCCAGCTTTACATGTTGGAGCCAGAGTCTGACCCAGAACCAGAGTCTGACCCAGAACCAGAGTCTGACCCAGAACCAGAGGAGAATTAAACAAGGAAATTGTAGTTGGTAAGTCCAGACCTTATTTGGCAATTCCTTTGCAGATAATTTGATACAACAGTTCAGAAAACATCATATAAAATAGAGAAAACTGAACGGGCTGAAAAATATGACGTAAACAGAATAAAGAGATCTCTGCAGCACCTGTTTAATGGCTAAAAAAAGTGGATTTTGCTTAATTCCTCTTTAAGTAAAGGAATAAAAAAGTTCCAATTTGCCAAATATTTTAAAACCTGTAAAATACTGAAAATGAATGTCAACTGAAGAGAAAAAAATGTTTTAATATACTGAAAAGCATCTGAAAAATAGTCACAAACTTTAAAAGATCCTAAAATAAACCTGTTCAGTATGTCTAAACCAAAAGGAACAGGAGCAACCTAAGACTTTTGCACAGTGCTGATCTCTGCCTGCAGGCTCAGTGTGCTCTGAATAAGTTCAACATTCTAACAGATGACATGAAAAAAGCTTTTTCTTCCACATTCGTTTGATCTAAAGACTAACAGAAGATACGGGGATGTATGCAGCAACAGTGATGTAAAGTTCCTGCTGTGCTCCAACAGGCTGCAGGGAAACCGTTCAAAAACATGTTCTATAATCTCTGCACGAATCACAGGATTAGGATAATCTGCTTCCCTCCATTCCTCTGCCTCTGAACAAAACCACAGAAACACAAAAAACAACAAATCATCTGTGCAGCAGATTTATTTCTCTGAAACTAAACGCTGTTTTAACATCCAACAGACTTTAAAAGAACTTTTTCCATCTCTCAGAATGAGAAGTTGTCGTTACAGGAACACACAGAGGAAGGCTGTGTGCAGAAACACAACCAGGAGACAAATATAAGCACTCAGACTGAGGAGCGCGCTCTGATTTAAACATGGAAAGAGTTCAGTAGCTTCATGGTGTGATACACTTGTGAATATAGTGTCGTCACACACACAGGAAGAGGCACAAAACAGTAATTATGCATACATTCAGTATGTGCTGATTACATACAGAAAGGGATCAATAAAGTGCGTCGGACTAAATCCTCAAAATAAAACCAAATAAATAAAAAGATCCATAAGAGAAACATCAAAAATACAAAATGTGGGAGCTGAATGAATAAACTTCATGTTTCCTGACCTGAATTTAAAATCTTTGTCAACAACTGAAGCTTATTGATCCCTAAAAGAAAAATGAAAGATTGTCTTCAGACCAACGACGAGTCATTTCCCAGCTTGTGTCTAAACAGAGCAGCACAATTAAATTAAATCAAGACGAACCACAAATATATGAAACACCAAATCAGTTCCCATAAAAACAGAAGGCCAACCACCAGTAGTTTAAATATAAAACCCACAGAAAACTCCTGCTGGATCAAAGATTTACTAGGATAAATGCTGAAAAAAGGTCTCAGTTAATGTGTTGTAGTTAAATATTTTAACGCTGAATTCAATAGAAATGCAAACAGACTAAATATGGAGCAATGACTGACTTTTATCAAAACAATCCAGTTTGTTCAGCATCACTGACAGCTTCTTCAAACAGGTCTGGTTCCTGGTGTCTTTGGGAACCTGACTAAAGCTTGTGCACTCTGACACCTGGTGAAGCTTAATCCTCCTCTGGACCCATTTACACTGAATTATTTTATTTCATTATGAACAAAAACTCTGCTTTATCCATGCTGTACCACCAGGTGGTGAGAGCATCCACATGAAAGACATGAAAAAAAAAAAACAGACTTCAGCCAGCCCCACCATGACCTGGTTAGAGGTGATGATGAGGAGGAACGGAGGGGATTAATTTATAAATGGAGGAACAATGTGAGGAGGAAGTGTCAGCTTCACTGTCGACTCTAGAATCAAAGTTTAAATCATAAAACAGCTGACAACAAAGAAACAGAAATAAAATCACCTGTTGAGTCTGGAACATCACATTCAGCAGAATTATTGTCTTCATTTATTATAAAGTGGCACAGCTTTGTTGTGTTAACATTAGTGCTGGGCAGAGATTACAACTTTTAGATTAATCACAATTAATTATTATTTTTTTTTTAGAAATGATCACTCTACTATGGCTGAATGTGTGTGTGTGCAAGTTGCAATACACTCCATGTTGGACACTATAAAAATTTTTCATTTAATTTTGTGTTTCTTTTCATCTTATTGTTTATTGTATTTTTTATTGCTGACAACTTGGACCTCAGTATCTATCTTTCTCATTTGGAATGACAAAAAAAAATCGTTGTTCTTGATTTAACCTCAAAAATTTTACTTTTTTCTATTTTTTCCACCACACTTCTCAGCCTCCTTCAGAACCTGCCTCTGTTTGTTTAACGCTGGTTTTAAACTGAAGAGATGTTTCAGGCTCAAACTGCTCCGGTGGTGAGACAGCTCAGCATGCAGAGCTTACAGAGAACTTTATTTGTTTCAAGGAAAAGCTTTAAAGGCAAAGTGTGTAGGATTTTGTCAATTCTTTTAGCCRAAATTGAGATAATCACTGATGACAATAATAAAAAACATGTCTAATCATTGCAGATGAAGACCTTGCTTTATTATTTTTACCTTTATATAAAGCTGTTTATATCTCCATGGTCGCGGGTCGCCACTACAGGCAGCCGCCATCTTGCACTGCCATTTTGTCTACGAAGGCTCATGGAGGACAAAACTGCGGTGGCGGCGTCAAAAACAGTTTTAGTTGTAATACTATAAATGTAATATTTGTTGTCTGTCATTGTAGCTGGGATAATTTTACTTATTAAAGCTCATAATCTTACCACTTGAAACATCACTAGCCCTGAAGCTGCTGGTAGACATCGCGGTTGGAATTATCAAAGGTTTTTGACACCTGAGAGACACCGTAGCAACTCCTTTGTTTGGAAGCGGGGGGTGGGGGTGGGGGGAGGACCAGGGAGGATGATTCAACCACTCAACCACTAGATGTTGCTGAAAACAACAAATCCTACACACTGTGCTGGGCTGTGTGTGTGTCAGTGTGGACACACAGCTGATGTGCTGCTTGAACTGGACCCGTCTGGCTGCTAACTGTGTGCAGGAAAAACTGCTTAGGTCAGCTAAAAAAATATAAAAACTGATTTCTTTCTGTCTTACTGTTTACATTTCTATCTCAGTTATTAATCGTCAGTGTTTCAGCAGGATAAACTGAGACTAATGAAAAAAAAAACAACTAAAAACTGCTCAGAGAATTTCTCATTTATCTGAAGTTCACAGAGATAACTCTATTAAAAAATGTTTTCTGATCTCATCAAAAACTGTGCAAATCAGCGCTTTTTAATAAGTGTGGAAGTGTTCTACTGTTTCCCACATGATGCGAACATGAAACCTGAAGATCTGTGAGAATAAAACTAATAAAATGAAGTATCATTTATAACATTAAAAGCTTTGAAGAGTCACATGTTGAACATGTTCCACCCAGCGGTGTTCGTGAAGGTCTGCTGTGTACAGTCTGTGTTACAGAAGGTCCTGCTCTGCTATGTGACTGTGTAGAGCTCATCCTTGTTGTTCTGACAGAGCGTATACCCACAGACCCGAGGACTCCAGCTCCAGCTCCAGCTCCAGCTGAAGCCCCGGCTCCAGCTCAGCTCCTCAGCAAACGTCTCCTTGGGCGGCAGCAGGAAGACCACGCAGCTGGCCACCAGGATGTGCCAGATGGAGTGCGTGTAGTAGTAGTTGTCCTCCGTCTCGGCGAAAATGTACAAGCAGACCCCGACGAGGGCGCAGAGCACTCCGGGGAGCAGGAAGAAGACCCAGCGCTGCCAGGAGGGGGGATAGCAGTGTCGTCGACGGACCCCTCTGTACACCTGGAGACACCACAGGGTTTCAGAGCTGCATCGGTGACTAACCTACACAAGCCTGTGGTCCTGATGCTTACCCAGGTGATGACCATGAGCAGGATGGCACAGAGGACAGGGCCCAGCAGGTTCCACAGACCCTTTCGGTCCAGCTGCATAGACATGGCTATCAGCAAGGCTCCGAGCATGAACAGAGTCTGCAAACAGGAAGACAAAATCAAAAAGAAAGCACCGAACAAAGCGGACCCAACCTCTGTCAGGAGATCCAACCGTCTCTTACGTATTTAAAGGTGTGTCTGAGGCGAGCCATGCACAGGATGGTGACCCAGATGGCACACACTGACCCCAGGAAGTCACAATACTGCAGGGCGTCGTAGTCCATGATGCACAGCACCGCTACACCGGGCTGGTCGCACGCGTGGTAGAACTACAACACAAGAACAGCCCGTCACTCACTGGGCTGGAAGAAAACCCAGACTGGTGTCTTTGACTTACTGTAGAGAAGAACATGGTGAAGGCGTAGACGGAGGCCTCGGTCACGTAGCCACGTTTCATGGCCACCACGATGGCGGGCAGGAAGGACAGGTTGCTGAGCGTCAGCAGCAGGGTCGCCCCCACCTGACGGAGCAAAGACTGAGCCGTGGAGCCGTCGGTGCAGCCCCAGCCCTTCCAGCCTGCAAACGTCAGAACAAAGCAGCGCGTGAAGGCCATGGCTTAACGACGCAACTCAGATGACGGCGTGGACGTTTGCTGTACCGGCTGAGCAGACGCAGGCAGCGTACAGGTAGCTGTAGGACCTCAGCAGTCTACATTCACCGTATGGACCGCAGTCCTCCACGCAGGCACTGATGAAGACCTCTGGGACCACAGACACCACCGACGTGTTTCCACAGTTACTGCTGCAGGAAACCAAACACAGTTAGGCATCCAGCTGAAACATTTCACAAGCTGCCTGTGACATGCACATTCTTCAAATACATCAAGTCAAAGAAAACATCTTGATATTTAAGAAAGTTGGAATAATACACACAATTTAACCCATTTTGTCAGATTTTCTTTTGAACTTGTCTCAGCCAAAGTGAAACAGGAAGTGATGTCAAAGGGGAACTCTTTAACAAAGAAAACTCTCTGGTCTTTGTTTATTGAAATATTATTTGAACTCTGACTCTTCTTCATCTCTCTGACAGTGACTCAAAATTATCTTAAAAAAACAGATTCTGCTCTACAGTCAGTGATGTAGCACTGCTCTGTTCACATGCAGACATTCCCCTTTGACATCACTTCCTGTTACTTCACAGGCAAATTTCTCAACAACTGTTCATCTCAGCATCATGAAATTTATTTTGCAATATTTTATCAATGTCCTCTTTCTAAAAATGCATTCATTTGTATTACAAAAATTTGACGTCACAGACACTTTAAACTAGGGCATAAAAAGACTTCTGGTTTCTGCAAAGAGAAAAAAAAGCTAAAATACAGAGACTATTATACAATGTGTGTGTGTTTGTTTCTGCTACAGAGTGAGGATCGTCATTTTTAACCAAGTGAGGACATTTTCCCGGTCCTCACTTTATTTGCAGCTCTGCTGTGCTTTACTAGTTCGGTTTAGAGGTATGATGTGAATTAAGTTCTGGTTCAGGTTAGAGTTAGCTATTGCCCAGAAATGGTTAGTTTTAGGGAAAATGTCTGGGTTAGGCATAAATACAGTTATAAATACAGTTAAAAAATGAATGGAAGTCAATACAATGTCCTCAGTTTAATGCAAATACAAGGATGTGTGTGTGTGTGGCCTTATTTTTCCTACATTGAGGGTACAGTTATCCCAAAAAAGCAGCCTCATGGGGACCGAACGGGGGTCCAAATGCAAATTAGGGGTGGGGGGTTGGGTTTAGGACCAAGGTTTAGGTTAGTTTTAGGGTCAGGTAGGCACCTGTGAGGTTAGTTTTAGGGTCAGGTAGGTACCTGTGAGGTTAGTTTTAGGGTCAGGTAGGCACCTGTGAGGTTAATTTTAGGGTAAATGTTCAGGGTTACGATATAAAATTTCCAAAAAATGAATGTAAGTCAATGCACTGTCCCCATGGGGATATACAAACCTGGATGTGTGTGTTACCTGTTGCAGGTGAGCTGCAGAGTGAGGTACCATGTTGTGGACTGAGGAAAAGGCAGCCTGATCACAGTTTTAGGAACACTGACGTTCACACCAACACTGTATCCTACAAACAGAGCTGTTAATGAAAAAAAGTTATTGATTTATTTGTTTGTTTACCTTTAGGGCTAAAAATTTCTCAAAACTTCATAATTCAACTGCTGTACTTTGAAATAAATCATACTGCCTGCAGCTCAAGTTACAGACATCTGCAGAGGCAGCCATCCTGTAGATGTAAACCTGAGGTTTACTTTAAGAGTTTTTTAATCAGAATTTGTCCCAGGATATTTTGCTAACAGTCAAACAAGCACACACATAAGTTTAATCTGAAGCTACAGCTCATTGAACCTCTAAATTCTTAGAGAAGTTTTTCATCTGGTTAGCGACCTCTTTTGATCTGGACTTTAAAAAGAATCAGAGTCGAGAATCGTTAGGAACCAGAATCGAAACAAGGAGCCAGAATCGTTCAACTTCAAACAATGTGCAACCCCTTCTCACATCCCTATCCTCTGAATCAAACCATGAGGTGCCTTAAGAATCCTACCATCAATTAAATTCATGTAATGTAAAACAGGTGAAGGTGTAAAGAGCCACGAAATCTCTATCATAAAACCTGTTTAAGATTAAAGTTAATTTAAAACAGCAGCAGCCAGCTTTGGGAGTTTAACGGAGGTCATTCAAGGAGCTATCTACAACAGGTAAAATATTAACTGTTTATCAAAAAGAAAAAATACGTAGGTCCTCTGGATGGGTTCTTCTTTAGTGAAACGTTTCGTCTCTCATCCGATAACCAAAACAAAGAGGGGAAAAACAAAATAAGGGGAGCCCCGCCTGCATTCACTACATACACATGACACGACACCTAAGAACCACAGCATCCAAACCAATAAGTCAGGTGATGGGGCACATGACCCTCCATGAACAATAGAGCTAATCAAGCCTATTGTTAGGCGATGGCCCTCTTTTGCATGTGACTAACCTTTACGCTACGTTCACACCGAATGCGTTTTGAGAGGCCAAAAAGCGCAAAACGCCTCTTGTTGGACGCACTATGTTCAGACCGAAGAACGCACTAGTGTTTAGACCAGAACAAGAAGCAGCAGCAGCAGCGAGTTGTGGGAGGAGCGTCTCCTCGGCGAGTGAAATAAAGATAAAATAAAAGAAAATGGCTTTGATTTATTTACTAAAAAGCAAGCGAACGTTGTACACAGCAGATAATTAACTCACCAGATGATTTAGAGGCGATTTGTTCGGTTAGTTTCGTCACTCCAGAAGCTGCCAGCTGACGGACTTTTTTTTTTTTGGTTCCGAGCAGCTGATCCACATCGGTGCTGATATATCCTGCCAGAAAACCCAACTGCACACGGTCGATTTCAGGTAAAGATCTCCAGTCCGTCTGTTTCGGTTTTCAGTGGGAGACACGTCGAGCGGCGATAAGTTCAGATATTTGAACTCTGGCGGCGGCTCGGGCGGCGGCTGCTTCCGCAGCACCGCATGCTCGGAAAACGCTCTGCGGCCCTTCCGCCTTCCTTGCGCACAGCCCAAAACGTACGTGATGTGACGCACGACCCCTAGAGGCACCTCCACCATAGACTTTGCATGTGAATCGGCCGCTCCTGCCGCTCAAAACGCGTTCGGTGTGAACGAACCATAACCTGTTTGTCCACCATGTGGAGGCAGTGCTTATAAGGCTGAGTTCACCTGAAACTCCTCAGACTGAAGAAGTCTCTTGGAGGAGAGACGAAACGTTTCACTAAAGAAGAACCCATCCAGAGAACCTACTTATTTTTTCTTTTTGAATTTTTTCTATCTGGATTACTGAGATGCATCAGGACATTAACTGTTTATATATTTTTTTCACAGAACTATTCATAAATTATCTATGAGTGTCAGAGTTAGTGAGTTTCCTGCTGCAGTACCTGTGTGACAGGGTCGAGCTTGTTTCAGGTTGAGAATTGGAGCCCAGGGAGAAAAACAGGCAACCACAGCACTGCTGTTCCCCATGGTGGCATTAGTCTGCGAGAGAGAGAGAAACAAAAAGAAATAAAAACATCACGACATCGTCCTGTGTAAGTCAGCGTCGGAGCTTTACGCACAGAGTTGAGTGTGAGCTGCAGGTTGAGCGTCCCCCCGGTGGCGTGCGGCGGCAGCGGGTAGGACAGGAGCGTGGGGTGCATGTCCGTGACGCTGACGTTGGGTCCGCTGACGGGCGTGAAACGCAGCGAGAGAACGTCTAGCTCCTCGTAGAGCACGGGGACGCTCCACACACACGCCGACTTGTTACTAAAAACTGAAGCCAGCGAGACGTTTCCTGCTGACGACGAGTTGCTGCTGCCACCTCGCAGCTTCGCTATGTCATCATCAGCTTTAAGGCCGACACTTTTAGGTTTACATCCCACTGAAGCACACACACAGAGGAAGACATGAAACACCGAGCAGACTGGAATGTGTTAAAGCTCAGGAGCTCTTGTGTTCACCTGTGCAGTTGGAGACAACGGTAAAGGTCACGGTTCGGTTGACCTGGCTGCTCTCCACCACGACTCGTAACCAGGTGTCCCACGGGGGGCTGGAGAGGGACACAGAGCAGCTGGTTCCTGAGCAGTTCACTGTGGTGGCGCCTTGCTGCAGAGACGCAGAGCCCAGTGTGAGGAGCAGCGAGCAGTTTCTGACCTCTGCTGCCTCTCCTGACGAGCAGCCAGTCACTGAGATGGAAAGCAATGAGGCAAACTCTGGAACGTACAACCTGAGACACAAACAGCTCCGTTCAAAACAGCTGCTGCTCACCAAACAGCAGCTTGTGGCAATAAAAGAGGAAAATATCAATTACTTAAGGCGTGCAGGTGTGTCAGGAGCTGCGGTCTGTGTTAAAGGTGTGGCCTGTTGTAAAACAGGCGTGTCCACCGCCCTCCTGATTGACAGCTGAGGCTGGAAGAAATACGAGCAGGAAGGAAACCCCTGGAAGAAGAAAAACATCACAGTTAGTGTCTGCAGAGCTGGTGCCACAGTGAGAGGGTCGCATCACATCCTGACCTGAGGTCTTTCTGGGTGGAGTTAACTTTTTCTCTCCGGACCAGAAACATGCACGTTGGGTTCATTAATAGCTAAACTGTCCTGAGGTGTGAGTGAGAATGAATGGTTTGTTTATCTCCATGTGTCCCTGTGATGGACTGGAGACCTGTCCAGGCTGCCCCTGCCTCTCACAGTGACTGCTGGACTTAGGAACCAGTGACTTGGTAAGGTAAAGATAATGGATGGATGGATCTATGGATCTGCACACCTGCAGTTACCTTCATGAAGAGCAGTGAGTCTCAGCAGCCACTCTAGATTAATGTGTTCCCCAGGGATCAATATTGGGACCCCTGCTGTTTATTTTGTACATGCTGCCGCTAGAGTCTATTTTTAGGAAGCATACTGAAGAAATTTATAGTTATTACAGATTATTACTGATGTTAAAAGCCCAACACTATATTTTTAGGTTTTCCTTTTCATAATGTTTAATCTATTATGTGTTGATTGATATAGATTAGTTACATGTCCGAAATATCTATAACAACACACATTTATCCGTTATGAAAACATTAGGGAAGAATCGTGTATGAATGCCCGTGGTTCAGCCGTAGGTCAGTAGGGGGCGAACACGGGCATTGAAGACTCTGTATAAATGGATCGATTTCCTGGTTGGCCGGCAGTGTGTGGTTTCCTGTCAGATCCGAATGGCAATAAACCCCACTCCAGAATTCTGGTTTTGTATGGTTTTATCTCGTCTAACAATCATATTATTTAACATTGGTGGTTTTCTAATGACTTCAGTCTTTGAACACTAATATTTCTTACAATACGTTCACTGATTTGTCGATGACATCCAGGCATATATGCCAGCTTACTTAGGCAGCAATAATGAGCTGATACCCCTGTTAAAACTGTCTGGCTGAAATTAAAATCTGGATTAGGTTAAATTTTCTAATTTTGAATAAAAATAAGACTGAGGACATCTCAAATTGGATAAACAGATTACAATTATTAAGACAAACTTTTTTCAATTACGACTCATTACTAAAGCAAAGCCATATGTCTCTGTTAAAGGCCTTGAGAAGGTTATCTATGCTTTTATTACTTCTCTATTGGACTAATGTAATTCTTTAGGGTTAGACCAGTCATCCCTGACGTATTTTAACTGGTACACAGAAGTATGTATCACTATATATATATCACTCAAGTCTTAAAATCTCTTCACTGGATTCCTTTTCATCTTCGTATGGCTTTTACAATTTTACTGCTTTCTTCTAAAGTTAAGTGGGTTAGCACCATCTTCACATCCACACACCTGTAAGAGCACTCCAATCAACCCACCAGTTTCTCCTTGATGTTCTGAGATCAAGGCTAAAACGTACAGGTGATTAAGCATTTGGCATGACCGCCCCAAGACTTTGTAGCTTACCTCTATCTGTTCATACCCCTCAGCCTAAATCTCAGCTAAAACCAATTTCTTTTCTACGGTTTATTTATTACTGCTTTTATTCCATCTATTGTTTTATGATTAAGCAACCATGAAGAACTTTAGAAAAGTTTAAAAACAGATGTTTTTAAATGTGCTATATAAATAAATGTGACATGCAGAAACATGAACAATTCATAAAGAAAAGCTGAAAGTTGCTGATGGGATAAATCTGTACCAGTTACAGACGTAGATAAATTTGCTGCTACTCTTCAAAAATTATAAAAATAAACCCACAAGTGCTGTGACTGGCCAAAAAGCTCCAGTTTTGTCTCATAAGCCTAAGACAGGCAATCCGGTCCTTGAGGGACGGTGTTCTGCAAGTTTTAGATTAGTCCATGCTCTAACACATCTGATCCAAATACATGATTTACCTTCTCAGAGGAGGAGGCCTACTAATTTAGTACTCCTTAGGTTCAGCTGTGTTGAACCAGGACAACACATGCAGGACATGGACCCTTGAGGACTGACTTTGGACACCACTGGTGTAAGAAAAATCCAGCGATTGAAACAACACTTTTCTCATAATTCTGGTTCTTAGTCTGGATAAACTGTGAGGGTTGAATCAAGAAAGGCCTTCCGTGTAAAAATGACGCCACAACAAACATTTAAATCTATGACTGCCTTATAGAACAGGTCAGGACCTGAGTTAACCTCCTCTGGTACTGTTAAGCAGAAAAGTGCTGATGGAAACTGGACTTGGAGGCAGATATTCCTCCATGACAATCCCTGCCAAGGCAGCAGCCGAAACACCAAGAGGAAGTCTGAGAGACCTCTCTCAGAAGCTTTGGGCATGCATTTTAGTAAATCCCATTATAGCTTTTCTTTCCAACAAGCAGAACCTCCTAGTTTGTTTGTTTTTTTTTTCCCATGGAGTCAATAAGATTCAAAATGCAGCAGATGATGTGAACAGGAACTGACGTAACTGGATGGTTTCCTCAACTTTTTTCCTAACAGCCTCAGTTTCTGCCTGATCAGCCTGGGGTTGATTTTCTTCTTTCCTCCACATCCTGGGAGACTGGCTGTAGTCATATGACAGAACCATGAAGCTGCTTGGAGATGTTCTTTTACCTTCATCATGGATATCTGTAATCTGAGATCCTCTCAGCTTCGTTTCTGCTCCATGTTCAGTGTGAATACAACTGAAGAAACATACTTCACATAGAAATGATTTATTGAGATGTCTGAACTTTTTCTGAGAAATTAACACATAATTATGTATTTCTTATGTGCTGTGAATAAGCTGTGATTAAATAGTAGTATGCACGCTGTTTATGAGTGACTCATGATGTGGGTCGACTTTAGATAAAACATGCCTCACACTAAACAACAGACAAACTCAGTTTTTACATCAGAACTTGTGTTTAGGACCAAACTGTTCAGCAGGAAGGGTCTTTCATATCTGTGACGTCTTTTGCCCCAAAGGGAGTGGTTCAGTCAGAATGTTGTGCATAAAAACAAGGTTATTTCCTGATTCTGGGCCAAAAAAACTCCTGATACTTCGTTCAGGTCTGTTTTGGTCCAGCTGTAGGTTTTGTAAGACTTTATATTCTGCAATTAAATGTTAAAGTTAGGGCTGGGCGATATGACCTCAAATTCATATCACAGTATACATTCAATCCCTTCATGGTAACAGTATATATTGCAGTAGAAAATTATCATGAAAAGCAAAGATAATGTAATACTTAGAGCATTTATTTTAGCAGAAAACTGTAATCATAATCAAAGCCAGCATTTTTGCTGAAGTGCAAATGAACATAACAGAAGTACAAAAGAATGTTTTATATATATTGTAAAACGGTTTCAACAACAAACAAAAACATTTCTCAAATTTTCAACAATATCAAAGTAAAGTGGATGTTATAACCAGGGTTGCACATAAAAGTTTTGGTCTGGTTCTCAGGGGAGAACCTGGGGTTGTTGCTTTGTGCTCATATTTTTCTTAACTCATTTAACACATTTATCTAGAGGGGTGTCCGGGCATTTATTATTGTCCTGTTCTGTTTTATGATGCCTTCTATTAGCTGGCAATGTCTCGGGGCATCATGCCATATCAGAGTTTTTTATTTTGTGCGTGTTTATCCTGACTGGGCTTTCCTGAAAGCAGACAGGAAACACAGACAGGATTCCATGCAACCTTCAGGTGAAAATGAAGACCTCAAACCCAGACCCAAACCAGTGGTTATTCCGTATGTTGCGGGTGTTTCGGAGAAACTGAGACGTTTATTTTCCCTGTCCCAGTGGCTTTCAAACCCCAAAACACATTACGGCAAAGGCTGGTTCACCCCAAAGATCCGG